TGCGTGTTGCGGTATAACTCTGTACGTCTGTCCTAGAGGAAGACAAAAAGATAGGCTCTGTGACCCCCCTCCTAAGCTAACAAAAACAAACAGAAGTATACTCGTTTGGACTGAAAGGTTTACAAAATTGTGACCAGACATTGGAAAAGCATATGTCACAGAACTTGGTTTACGAAATGGCATCATTGTTTCGAGCAAGAAATCACCTGCTCACCACTGGGACGATGAAATCATCACTATTTATTGCGTCAGGTATATTTGCGCTCATGAAGAAAAATCTGAACACATCCTTCTCCGAAAGTCCTGTGTCGAATAATAAACGCTTTTTTAAACATCTATGCACAAATAACTCTTTTTTTTTCTACACTTGTATATACACGTTAATTAAACGACGTCAAACCGCATTTTTGATTAGATCTTGATGTCTACACCAACTACATTCATATTTTTTAGGGCTTTATTGAACGATTACTTTAACTATAGTTAATGGAACACGATGACTCGATTTCAACAAAAACCTCAACGTGCGAAGCTTCCACAGACGGTCGCTTGCGAGTATTCTCAATGTGAGACTTCAGAAGCTTTCGCTTGCCATAGGGAGCTTGCTTTCGACTACAGCACTGCACGGGCCCGGAAAGCGCGGAGCGCGCTGCTGTGGGGAGAGGTTGACTTACAAGATGACGTGTTACGTGGTCACGTAAGATGGCGTCATTTCGTGCAGCGTAATCACGTAAGATGACGTCATTTTGTGTAACGAGATCATGTAAGATGACGTGTTTGTGTCACGTGATCACGTAAGATGACGTCAGTTCGTATGAACTGACGTCATCTACGACAACGCCAACAACATTAGTGCCGTCCGGAACCATTGACCTTAGAAACGCGCCTCTTCGCTTGAAGAGCTGATATGCGTTGATTGTTATTTGTTTATTTTGCCTACTACAGACCATTCAAAAACCCGCCTTCTGGGTGCCACCAACTTCGTCTACTGGGCTGTGAAGCGCGTTCGAGCGTGCGCAATACCTCTCTAGGCCGAAAGATTGTACACTGAGTATGCGTTCACAGCTCAATGACTTAGGCATTTTTCGTCAGGATAGATGCTCCCACGAGAAGAGCGTAATGGATATGTGAATAGAATTGGAAATTTGAAATGTTCTTGTCCAATCGCATTTTTCTTTGGTTATCAACGCTTTTTAGCGTCATCACAAGACGTTCAACCCATAATACACCGGTGATTAAAAAATAAGCACCGAAAAACATGCACCGATTTTCGCTCAAAAATAAACACCGGAAAAAACATACCCTAATTATTACCCATGTCACCTTTTTGGGCAATATGTGAATTTTCAGAATAACAGCGAGCTATCACCCTCCCCTAGGTATACCCTGACTACAGAGCTGGCGACCCGTTTTTCCCCGCGTTAGATTGCGGTGACCACGAACCGTACGGAGGTCACAGGACGTCCGTGAAAAATAAAAAGGAGGCAAACAACGATCTACTCTGTGCACGCTTCATCCCCGATTTCCACGACCCCAAGGCCGAAGGACGTTTGTGTGAAGGATAACGATAAAATAAAACTCTGCGTCAAAAAAAAGCCCGTTTTTAAAAGAAAAAAAAAGTAGAAACAAGCACAACGCGTTGACGGACCGCGATGTTGTGGAACACCTCGCGGTCCGCTTGCCACAGGACGGTTGTCTTCGACCCATAGCTCCAAGGTGAATTTGCCACTTGCGAAAACACGGAGACCTACCTAGCGAGAACCAGGAAAGCAAGACACGCACACTGGCGCCTCGGCGTGCAGAATGAAACAGGATACGGGCGCGGAATGCGGCCGCGGAAGAACACCTCGCAGAGTGCCGATCCGGCCGATCTCCGAACGGACGATTTCGCATTTCGTGGACAGCGAGCGCCACCGCACGGGAGAGAGAGGTACCTTAAAAACGACAAAGACAAGCACCGACACCTTGGTTCTTTATATTTGCTGTAGTTACGGAACAAATCGACTTACATGAATAATTTGAATATTATTCGATTCCGTAATAAATTTAGAAGACATTAAACGCAATACTTCTTATGTTTGAATTTAGATAATTTTGTAAATTCGCTCCGAACGCAAGAGTGCCGAATTAGCCGATTTCGACCATTTTCATGATTTTTTAAAGAATATAATTAAATTTATGATGAAACATTTGTTGCGCTTAGTGTCTCGATAATGACTCAATGTCTTTAAAGCCGAAAGTTTCAAGAAGATCCGCGCAGCCGTTATTATGTGAGAATTTTTTTAATTTGGTGAAAAACCTCATGTATTCTCTATGGGGCTCTGAGGTGCGCCCCCTCTTAAGTTCCATCGTGTTATAAATCAGCTTCATATATACTTCCACGTCTTTTTTTTTTGGTGACTATTCAGGTGAAACCCTAGAAAAGAGAGGGTAAGTATCTTAAGTTTCCACATGGACATACTGTTTTTAGCTATGGCACTTACGCACACCTAAAACGTCGAAACAGCAAATGTTTTAGTTCATGAATAAAAAGTAACGCAAAAATAACGTGCGTTACTTTTTATCGGTAACGGTTACGCATTCCTTTTATTTTGAGGTAACGTAGGTTGGTAACGTGTTACTTTTATTTGCATTTTATTGAGTAACATATTTAGTTACTTTTTTCGGTAACACCTACAACACTGCCTTGAAGCATCTTTTGGAGCAGCCAAAAGTCTCTTTTAGAGCAGCAAAAAGCACTTTGAGAGCATAAGCAGCCCATATTTCATTTTCATTCATACCAGTGCGCATATCATCTTAAGATTTGTGTGCATGTCTACTTTGCCTTCCTGCTTTTGTGCAACCTTTTGATGGCATCAGCAGCATGCCAGGCTTGATTCCCTTGCTAGAACTTTAATTGCACCTAGAAGCACATGGCATGGCAACAAGATGCTGATTGATGATTGGCATTATGAATCGCTTTGCATGGTTAGGTGTAAAACCAAAGGTAAACAAGATATGATATTCCATTGAAATAATATTAAAATATATTATTTTGAGCACCCACATTTGTTTTCATTAATTTTTAATAAAACTGCAGCTTTTAATGTAGATAGAAGAGACAGCTTTTGTTATTTGATTATGCACATCAATGACATTTTATAAGCAGAACTTCATTATATGAAAGATCTGCATGTGAACAATAAAAATGCTTTCTCAAAAAAAAAAAAAAAAAAATCCTGCCAAACTTGTTTAGGTTATTTCCAGGCTTACATTTAATGCTCAAACTAATTTAGTTTCAATTTATTGCATTGACTGTGCCATCAAACAGATGGAGCCTATATAAAAGTAGTAACTAAACGAGAATTGACAGAAAAATGAACCTATAGAGTGTAAGTTTTCTCGAAATACTCAAGTATCCTTGATGAATCTCGAAGGGAAAAATATATCGTCAGAATATCGCAGACAATTATACACATATACTAGCTGCAGTAACTGTGTTCAAAAACTGTATGTAAGGTGCCACTCTGGAGGAGTGTTTTTCCCTTAGCAAGCGGGTGCACCGCAGCAAAGCAAGATTTGCAAAATTGCAACGCCTACTACGCAGTTGTCGCTTGACTGTAGGACACCACTGCGTGGCGAGAAGCGCACTCATCGATGCAATACTCGTTGTCACTAGTTGCCTGCAGTACAGGCAAAGGCAACGCCAGGTGACGGGAGAAAGGGCAAACACTAGGAAGGCTGAGGAGGAGGAGAGAAACATCCTCTCCTCTCTAACAATCCTAGTGCTCCCCCTTCCTCCCCTCACCCTCCACTGCCCTCCTCTCCCATCCCGCCTTCCTACTGCTCGCCCTTTCTTTCCACCTGGCGTTGCCTTCACCTGCACTGCACGCAACTAGTGACACGGAGTATAGCTATCCGGCCAGAACAGATGAGCCCGAGAAATATTGCGAAAATTCCGAATAGCGTCAGTGGTTGGCACAGAGATCAAATCGAGTAAGACGTCTTTCGAGCAGATAATCGAAAGTCTTGGAAACTCGCACCAGCCTGCCGTAACAATCCGGGCATGTCGCGGGGCCCGATTTACTATATTGTCGGCATTAATCAAGTGAAATTAGGTTTTGCGACAAGCACATTGGTGCAAATGGTGCAGCAATCCCATCCCTGAGCTCACGTTCAAGGAACTTTGCCTCGATAGCAGTCTTGTTTCTCAGACCTCGAGAAGTGGAGTGGTTCTTCATCCTCCATCTCACTAGGTGGGCACAAGCACAGTGCTTTATTTTGCTAGCTCGCAACCTCTAAGAGGCTCGTACTATTGAAGCTTCGCCTCCCGTGTGCGCTTGTTAAACTTCCAACAGGCTTCTACTGCGCGCACGAAGAAGTGTTAGCCAAGGTAGAAACGTCGAGATGGAGGCAGAGCATCTAGGGAATTCTTAAATCTGCTGCCAATTATAACTGCTTGCAGCATTGTAATAACTGCGTTTTGACACTTCACCTTCTTCAATTAGTTAGGTGTCTCACACCAACGCCTTGCCAATGCAGGACTCAAACATTTCAAGTCTGGGTGGAATATCATCTACTTTTCTTTCTATGTTCAAAAGTTCATATTTAAAAATTAGAATATCCACGCAAATGACCACCATGCACTATGTTAGGAGATATACAGAGAACAGATTTTTTCGTAGAAGCTGAACTTCCTTGGAGCTTTATTATAAAAAAAAAAAAGGAACACTTATAAAAGAACAAAATTGAGAACAAGATCCATTGAGGATGTCTCGTTAAGAAATAACACGTCGGTGGCCCCCTCACAAGTTGTTAACTTCTAAAACTACTACAGGGCCGATCTCGGCCAAGCGTCACAGAAACAGTAAAAGAGGATCTCCTTTGATGCCTTACTAAAACAAACTTTCACTAGAGAACAGACACGAAGGCACCAAATGCACAGCAAACACAACACAGTAGCACCAAATTCCTTGGTCTTGTCCTCACAAAAAATGTTGGTTCTTCTTTCATAAGGCACTCCCTTCAAGACATAATCTAGTTGCTGTAAGCAATTTTTTATAGAAAAAAGTCACACTTGAAATTTTAAGTAGGCATTGAGCACATGATGACATGGCACTAAAAATGCACCATTGTGGAAGACTGGTATTGCATATGCATCAGAATGTCTCTGATACGTTTGTCCCAGCTATCCTTGTAATTATTGAAAAACATGTTTCACCAAAACATCCGACAACCGGAACGCCAACATGTCACCCAGAGGCTCAAAGCCATCTGTTCCACAAGGCCAACCTTCCCTTATGTCTGACAACTAGCATCACTGTCAACAAAAACCCTTCCCTTACATAGCTAATCACATATTTCCTGTTACATAATTCAGAAAATATGCCAAAAGGCTCAAGTGTTCACCTATTGGCATCTTTCTGTCGTTCAATCTGCCCCAAACCCCTCCTTACGTCGAACAAAAAGCCTTTTCTGCTCCAAACTTAAACAACTGCATCATTGCCAACACACCATACCCTTGCAACACTGATTGCCTTCAAATGCAAGCACTCCCCCACCCAAAAGCCACAGCCAGCAGACGACCCCCACATAACCGGTGCCATAATGCAGCGCCCAATCCCCACAACTGTTCCAACTCTTCATTCCAGAACTGGCCCCAGCGCTGAAGAGTCTTCGAGCACTCACTACGATGACGCCGGCATACCATTTCTCCTACTAGGGTTAGTGAAGGAATGCTGGGGACCTCTTCTGCAAGTACTATCATAGATACAGCTGTCTATAACACATGGGCGGTGGCTGTTCCATTCTCCCCACACCACATGCTCTCCAAGAGGAATCAAACTTTGCGATTCCTCTCGGAGATTGATTGTCCTTCCACTCTGTGATCACACCGCCCTTTGGTCGTCTGCTAGATGCAAAGCAGACGACGACGCAGCGCTCACCGATGTTGCAGCCAGCTGTGTCTACGTTAGTACCAGTCCTCAAACTAGGGTTAGCAAAGGAATGCCAGAGGTCACTTCTGCAGTTACTTGGGAAGCCGCCTCTGCAGTTACTTTCCGTAGAACTTGCGGTTGATGAGGTAGAGGAGCAGGTTGACGTTGACGCGCGCCTTCCCGAACACATCCATGACAGCGACTCCTTCATACTGCTTCTGGAGAAGGTCCTGGATGTCGATGTCTGCAGCGTCCACGGGAACGCCGAGGAAGCGAGCGCGCACCGAGAACACGCCCTGCTGCTCTCGCGGGCTCAGCTCGAAGTGGGCGTTCTTCAGCTGCGAGGGCTCCAGGCCGTCCACACTCAGCAAGACCCCCTTGTCCGCCAGCTGGGCCCCCGTGTACTTGAGGGAAGACGTGCGAAGCCTGCAGAATGCATTGGACACGATTTAGCAAAGCACTGAAACCACCATTCTTCACAACAACGGGTTGTTGGTGCTGGCCAGAGTTATTAGATAAACACAGTTACGGGACTCTGCTCCAGAGGGACATGTCACCTGCAAGGAGATGGATGCTCTGCATTAGTCTTTCACGGGATAAAGAACCCAAGACAAGCTCTTCCTACAAAGCCTTCCGCTCTTTCCACTTTAGCAGAGGAAACGTTGGAACAGAGGCAAGTGGAGAGGAGGAAACGCAATCATGGCGAGCAGAGCGCTTTGTGTGAGGTACTTATCCCGCTTTTCTTACCCTGTAAGTGACTCCAAGGGACGATATCATCATCGTCGGCTAGCCTTCTTTGGACGTTCGGGTGACAAACTGTTCTGAAGATGTATAAGGCTGTCTTTTGGCAGATTTTAAGTTTCAAAAAGTTGATAATTGTATTTAAAAAAAAAGGCTCAATTACACATTTGCATTCGAGTATAGACCAACACGCGGCCCTGACGTCGTGGAGCTGCAGTGGCGCTGTCGACGGCGCTGCGCATGCGCAGACGCGTCACTTTATGCGAATTTGGTTTCTGCGCGCGCGCAGTGCTCACAGCTGGTGTGGGCAAACACGGACTTGTTTGTAAACAGCGTGTCGGTCTATAAACGACAGCGTTACAACTGCTTACGACGAGAGAAGACGCCGGTGCCATCTATCAGACAGCTTGACCCACTTCCGGTCCGGGCCCATTTCCCAATTTCTTACGCAGCATTCTTCAACCATGAGCTTGAAATAATTCTGACAAAGTTATAAGCGACTGTTTCTCATAAGTAGCGGATAGGTGATCTCACAAATACGGCAAAACCTTCAAATTAGTTCAGGAATGCTATTTGCGAACTGACACCGTCTCGCTTAACTTGGTGCAACGTGTCGCTGTCGAACGCTGGGGGTCACAGCACAGCCGATCACACTCGTAAGCAGGTGTGTGCACCAGACTTGAAGTGCTTCGCCTGTCTAATTATCGGTGCCGAAGACGTTTAAACGTTGAACGACTTGCGTGCTTTCCCTTTTGATTTGTCATTTCAGAATTCAAATATGTGTGGTTAAAATCCTCGCCTGCTAAATTGCCAAGACAAACGTCCCTGCACGTGCAATTCGTTTAAAGTAGATTCGCCGAGTGGCAGACAAAAAAAATCCCAGAGGTAGCGATGTCCTCTTTCATCCAGAAATTGCAGCTAACGAATGACACGAGCCTAATGCACCGCCGACAATGCCACCGCTACAAAAAGCCAGACATAACCTCCAATGCATTCCGTTGTGCACCATCCATGGGAAGTTCCGCAACGGAAGTAATCAAGTAACAAAGGTGTTGGCACCGAATGGATCCATTGTATGGAGCATTTGCAAAAAAAAAAAACGGTGCACTTTGCAACCTCATAAATAACCCATACATTGCAAAGAGCTCAGACTCTATCGAGACATAAGCAGCAGCCAGAATAAGATACTGGAATTCCAGGTTTCCAAGCATGTAGGCATGATTTCAAATTGGGGTGCTGGAGAGGCGGAAAAAGCTACCAGGGCCGACAGCGAATGCAAAGCTTTATGTGCCTAAAAACAGGAATGAACCAAGTGAAATAACCTACTTATGGTGCCGATAGGGTCACAAGCAACCATTATGAAAACCTTTTTTTTACCCCTAAAAATGTTATCGAAACATGATACAGTATTGGAGAAAAGAAACTAGAATGAAGTCCTGTACACATTCTCGAAAAAAGTAACCGATTACAATTACTTTATTGAAAAATGAAACTGACTGCAGTAATCAATTACTGCATCACAAAATTAATTGAAAAATGACCAGAAAGTAAGTGATAACGTTTCACGTTACTTTTCTTAACTTTAACTTTAGAAAAAATTGTAGATAAGATATCCTTCCGTTCTTAGTATGTTCTATATACAAGCATGCGCTGGCAAACTTTTTTGAGATGGATTTTGGGGGGGGAGGGGGCGGGGGTGCTCTTTGTCGTGGCTAAATGAGGTCAGTGCAGAACGCAGTTGTCTATGAAACCCTGATGTTAACAACCTCTACACAAGAAATGAGACACTCTCGACAGCTCGATAGTCAAAAAGTCGCTGAACGCGTTGACATTTGAATCCGTTCAGTATCTTTTTTTCAGTTGTTTAGGGGTAAAAAAAAGTGTCCAACATTGGTGCAACATAGACGAGTGACGCACGGGCAGACAGATTGATTTTTTGTGTACAAAGACGCAAGTCCATAATTTTAGCTCTTTCGGAAACATACGATTGATTACAGAAAAATAGCAATTGAATTACGGCGAACATTACAGTAAAAAAAAATGAATTGAAGCGTTAAAAAGTTACAATAAAATGTAATTGATTACAAGTGATCAGTTACTTGCAACTTAGTTACGCACATTTCTGCTAGAATGTGATAATCTGTTTGCCTGGCTTGGTGCAGCCATCTAGTGGCAATAGGGGAAAGCTCTGTCTGTCTGATGGAATGCTTAAATGCCTCCTAATCTAGACATCCATTGTTACAGCACTGCACCTCTCAATATATACCGCAAAAAACTCGGGCAACTAAGCCATAAAGAATGCATTTCCTGCATTGGCTGTCCCATGTGGTTTTCTAACACGATGCTCGCTCCTTCAAATTACTTGTTACCTCGTTTATGTCAGATAGTAGTGCCAAAACACAATAGCCACCAACAAATGTTAATTTTCTTGCAATTTCCTGAATAACTTAATTTTTCACCTATTTCATCACTGATCATAGCGCCAGTACATTAGAGACACCAATAAATGCCCATTTTTTTCCTAGTTCATAATTATCTAAATTCACTGCAAGGGAAGTGCCCTAGACGCCCAATAAAAAGTGCTTCTTCACCCATTGTATGTCTGATAATGCTGCCAACACATGAGAGACACAATGAATGCCCATTTTCTCCCAATTAAATAAACAATTATTAAAATGCACTTCATCAGAAGTGCCTCCGAGGCACTGTTGATTGAACTAGACTAAGCCATACCATGCAATAAATAAATAACACCCAGATCATACCAAATGCCTCAAAGCCAAATAAGACGAAAGACTCTTCGAAGATACTTTGTAGTACCCCTCGAGCATAAAAAGGGAGAGACCTGTCAAGGGAAAGGGCTACATTCCGAGTGACAGGAAGCGTGATACGTGGCTTCCTGGCAGACGTCTGGCAAGGCCACTGGGGGCTAGATTTCCGCCAACATGCACAAATTGCACGCCTCAACGAGCGCGCATGCACCTGACACACATACGGCGCTGGCTTTATGCGCGCGTCCCAGCAGAGTTCTTTATGCTCACCACAAGCCAGACGCTGATTTCAGTTTCTCCCGGTCATGGTTTGAGCAAAGCCTTGTGTTTTTGCTTTATGCTAGTTCAGATATTATATTTAAAAAATATATACTGTAAATGACTTAATTTTCGCGAATTTCGCGAGTCGCCTGAAATTCGCAAAAAATAGGTCCCGCGAACAATTCCGGTAAAACGTAAACCCATTGAAATCTATATTGAGATCCCACTGCGTTGCGAAAATTAGAGCCCGCGAATTATTCCAAAACTTCAGCTTTGACCTAAACCGCGAAATATTGAGTTTGCGAAAAATACGTCGTTAACAGTATATATTTCCTCAGTGCATCAATTAACTCAAGGTTGGTAATAAAGTTCGAGAAATTTATTAACAAAAAAAGTGCCTTTATTTAAATGAAGATAGGGCAGGCATGGCCTTCGAGATTTTTCGCACTTTGGCTGTTTCTCTCAGGCCATTGCATTTGCCAGCAGAGAGACCGCTACTTGGCGGCGCTCACAATTCAACCGAACAATACAAAGAAATAGCCGCGTATTATCCTCATCACCATTATCGCCTGTCTACGGAACTTCGGAGCAGCGCAAAACGTGCCCCTGCCTCTCGCCGCAACACACAGACCTTCGGCAAGGAAGAAGTTGGTTGAAATTTGAAAGTTAATCTTTTCAAAGTGCGCTCGCACTGCAGGACTCGGGGTTCCTGGGTTCAATCCCCACCCCTGCCCGTTTCGATCTGGGTGCGCGTGTGGTCGTGTATCCCTACTGCCTGGTGCATGTTAAAGACCCCAGGCTAGCGGTTGTACCGCACTGGCTAAATTGTTCCTCCAAAGCTGAGACACCAGATGCCCAGTGAGGTAGACCAACTTCCGATTGCTTAAACGTGCACACGCACCAATTTTGTTCAAAAGTGCGAAAGGTGTAGAACAAACATCCGTGAACGTAAGTGAAGTTCAGGAAGCTATTGTCACGCATGACGAGAGAAATATTTCTATGCCTGTCCCGCCAGCCCATATAGTACCCGCAGAGAACAAACATAGATTCACACTAAATCTTGCCTTCTGCGGTATCTGCCGTAGAATGAGCTATCACCAAGAACAGACGATTTCAGAAACGTCTTTAGTGCACCTTTAATTACTAAGAGTAAATATTGACCTAAGTAAACACTTAATTTTTCCCTAAATTTCCCCTTTGACAGGCACCAATATCACATCAACCCTTTTTCTGCACAATGCATACTTTGCTTGGGAACGATTAGGGCTGCATTTCGTGAAACACCCTGCATGTATAACCGAGTCCTTCTCCCAAAGACATGACGTTCATATAGAGTATATTTTACAATAATAGTCAAAATATGACCTGGATCATCACTGTATCAAATGACATGAAAACACCCAAAAACAAAACCCTTGCAGTTATGGACTTCTACCTGTATTCCACTGTAAAGTATGCATGGATATCTAGAAATGGTCAGCTGGTTTGATTGTTATCACACGATGTTGAACACCAAGATACCGACTCCCCAGGCACCACTTTCGTCGCCTCATTTTCGCTGTGATAAGACCTTCCTCGTGCAATCGCTTTGGGCTTCACGGTAATGTTCTGTGCACACAGTTCTCAACTGCCGGCAGAAGTGGCATCTGCCGACAGTCCTTCATGAGCAAATGGCCTGGGGAAGGGGAGGGAGAAAAAAAGGGGGGGGGGGGGGACAGGCAACACAAGGAGACGCAAGTATAAAACTAAGCTAGGGACGTCATGACCTTCTATATCCTGCGATAGAGAAGCACCGCTGTAGAGCGGCCATTGACGGCTGTAGAAGATGTCTCTTTGGAGCCGATGTCATGTGGCAAAGCCCCTATAACGAAGACAAGCTAGCTCAATTTGAGTGAAGGTTAAGGTTTGTTCTCCTTTTTTTCTTATAAGCTGACATACACTTCTGCCCACCTCCTCCTTTTCTGTACCCCCTCCATTTTCTACTTGGCCCCAACTTGGCTCTCCTCGCAGCTTAGAAGAGGGGAGCGCTAAGAGGATTATCTTTCCTGCAAAAAATTGAGCTAGTACGTCGGCCTTTAAGGAGGTCATATGTTGCTCAATGTTTTGCCATTTGAAGCTAGTTAAGCCACTGTAACAGTTAAAAAGAATTTTTAAAAAATAAGTTGTTTTTTTTAAATAGTGACATGCAATTTTGCCACATTTAGAGAAATGAGCTGCATTTCTGCATTAATAAAAGTACCAGAATAATCACGAAGGATATTTTTCTTATATATTCGTAAAATGTATTTAAGATGATCATAATATATGCTCGTAAAATGCATTTAAAGATGATCATTTTAAACTATTTTGCATAGTTTTATATGAAGTAGTTAGTTGGTAAATAATTTGTGAATGCATATATGAAACATGTTTATTTGACATGTTTTGTAAATCTTTTTCCATAAAAATATTTGAACAATCTTTTTATAATCTGTGCACATGTTGTACACCTTCCCTAAAATAGGTTGAAAAAAATTATTACTACTCAGCCGTCAGTTTGAGTGAAACTGATGGCTCAGCAAAGTGCCATGGAAAAACCTTGGCAATCTTTGCGCTTCGAGCTTCAAAATTTCATAACTCCGGAAGAAAATTGCTCCTCCCAAGAACATGGCTTCCACATATATTTTTTACGTAAACATAAAAATATGACCCAAACCATCGTTGCATGATCTGAAGTGAACACACCCCAGAGTAGACTGATCTAGGTAAATCTGCAAACTCTAGATCCAAAGTACAATTAGACAAAGTGGTTGTATACAAAGCCAGTAGAGGAAGTTCTTATATCTAAGATATTAAACTTATTTCTTGGTATCTGCTACAGAGAAAGCGACTTCAATAAAATATGGCTGTGTCAGCAATATTTATGTTACAACTACTGTAAAATATCATGGAAGAGTCCACTTTGTTCAAGTGCCCAGTGTTAACATTTTCCAAACTTCGGAATTCTGCAAATTATATGTTAAGCGCTCAATTTGATTGGACAAGTGCCCATGTCTCGATTAACCTAGTTTTCAATGAAAGTGGGGCGGGTGCTCCTCTGGTATTTAAGGCATTCAAATAATATTGCACTACCATCATTATGAGGCTAAATCAACCAAGTGGATATTTTTCTCTGATGAACAGGTCTGCTTTTTTCTCTGTGTGCTGCTGTCTTTGGTGCCCCAGTTTTCTGATCAGGTTATACACACAATAAAATCAGGTAGACCACACAAACTCAAGTGCACTTCAGCCTCCTTAGCAGACAGAAAAAGAGACACTTACTTGGGTGCCTGATGTCCCTTCTTTGGTCCCTTATTGATCAGGTTGTTAAGACAGGCCTGCACATACTGCTGGTAGTAGTCCAACTTTTCTTCGTAGAAAGCAGTCTTGCGATCCAAGTCACGCTGAGTCTGCTGCAGTTTCCTGAGCTCCTGTTCTCGGGACCTCCGGTACTCCCTCTGCTGCACTATGTCCTTGGCTATGTCCTCTAGTATGTATCCCATGTAGGTGTCGTCTGCCGGCAGTCTCCCCACCTTCTGCAAGGCCTTCACAGATTCCAGTGCCATCTGGTGAAGATCCTGAAGCGTCTGGAACTTTTTTCTGGCTTCTACTGTCTCGGGCGAGCTGCAAGACTGGTACAACTGGTCTTCTTCCTCGGTGACCGGACTGCAGAGCACCTCGCGGGCGGTCCGTGCATCAAGGCGGTACCGGATGAGTCTCACCACCATCTGTTTTGTCTCGCTGTAAAGAAGCTGCACTTTGTCCTCTTCGTCAGTGTACTTCTGTGTCAGCGTCAGGCAGAGCTCTGTGTTCTCAACCTTCCTCGAAGATGTCCCTCCAAGGGGCCCCAGGAGCTCGTCATCCGTGGGAAGTTTCCCAATGTCGTCCAAGAGACGGTGCAGCACGTCGAAGCTGTCGGGCGCTACGTCTAACTTGTGTTCGAGCAATAATTGATGAGTGTCCCTGAGCTCCTGTAACGTCAGCGTTATTGTAGGAGGCGTGAGCAGAGAGGCTTCCGTGTAGCTGTCAATGCCAAAGTGCTCTTCTGGACTGGTGACGTCGCAGGCCTCTCGGAAGAACTCTTGGAAGATTAGGTTGCAGGACCGCGTCAGAACCGACAAGCGTCGCAAGTGTTGGTCATTGTCGTAAGTTTTTCCCGATGCAGCAAGCTGCAGAATTTTTGCAATCAGTCCCAGATTTTTTCTCTGTTTTGTGGTCAAGGTAGTTCCAGGGCTCAACTGGATGATGTCGAAGGAATCTGGCGCCACAATGCCAGAGTTGATGTAACGATAGTAAAGCAGGTTGCCCACATATTTCAGGAGTTCTTCCTCTGGTAAGTGTGGAAACTTTGAATGCAGCGAATTCTTTAGTACTTTTGCTACATACAGGATGCCATAAGGAACCTTATCCTGCGACTTAGTAATAGTGGTACAAAAGGTGCTTACAAGCTTTTCCAACTGGACCACAGATTCGCTGAGTCGCTCTTGAACTTCAGGATGCTGAATAGCATCCTCTGCAGAGCACTCATACTTCATTCCGCTCGGCTTTCCTGTCTTGGTTTCAATCTCATTGATCCATTTCTTGTAGACATCCACTGGGGAGAGGTCAATGCTGAGATCTGGATCATCCAACACTGAGGACACCAGGGGCTTGAGCAAATCCTGAAGGGCTCCCTGACCCCTTCCTGTCCTGTAGAAGTCAACCACCATCTTCAGTACCAGGGGGTTTCCAGTCAGGATGTCTGCTGGGTTCTGCACCTTAAGCTTGATCTCTTCCTCCAGGGCAGACTTGAACAGCATCAAAAGAAGGTACTCCTCCCTCGGTGATGAGCCATAGTTGAAAATTGAAGGGATGACTGACTCTATAAACTTGTTGGATCGGCTTGCAGGCATGGCAAAGATGAGCTTGGCCAAGTATGTTGGATCCGTCTGGAGGAGGTAGAAGAGGTGCTGGTAGGCAGCCAGCCGCTCCCTGCTCTCCTTGCTGAGCGAAGTTAGACTCTGGGTGGTTTTGAGCCAGCTGGTCTGGTACAGCAAGGAGTCCCTCTTGGCTTTCTTTCCTGTGTGTTGCATCACCTGTCCGAGGGTGATGCAGTTGCGTACAAGCAGGCCTATCTTGACATCCATAGCATCAACTTCTTTCTCAAGGGCATTGTTGTGGCGGATGGATGCCACAACAGATGACTTGACCTTCTGCAGCTCGGCCTCCTGAGAGAAGTCGTGGGCACTGACATCTAAGGAGTGAAGGAACTCTCGGATTAAGGGTAGGTGTGCTTGGTTCAACAGTTCTTGGCACGATTCCTTTTCTACTTCAGGATGGCAAATAGAAACGTGCAGCCTTCTGCGTGTCAGAAAGCCTCGTATATGGGACTGTAGTTTGGCGATGAAGGAGTCTGACCTACGAAGCATCCGGGGACTTGCACGCACTTGTTGGCTGTCTGTGGTGTCAATCCTGAAGCTAATAATCCTGGCCAACCGTTTGCGTAACTCATCCGCGGGGCGTCGTGCTAGCCAGCCCCTTGAGGCAGCTTGGAAGTTCACCCAGAGTGGTATGAAGTCCTCCGATAAGAAGCGATTGTTTACATCCTCCACAAGCTTGGTCACCTTGTCGAGGCTCATGTAAGAGTCCAGAGAGCCATAAGGAGAGTCTGACCATTCACTGTGCAAGGTCAGAAGGTTAAAGTTAAAGTGCAAGTTTGGCTGGACAAAACAGCTCAGCCATTCTAGTGGTTCCTCAGAATCCTTGCTTTCGGTGGACAAACGCTGGAGCTCTTTCAAGTAAAGCTTCTTGCATCCGGGAATAACTTTGACAGAATCCAAAGCTTCGAGACCGTTGAGGACGTCGTCGGCATTTCTGTGGACCACACCCATGTGCACCGTAGCCAAACTGACACAAATGCGATTGCTCTCGGTTGCGATGGTATTTGCCGAATTGACCTCGTGCTGTATGTCGTCAACTGTGAGGAAGGCGTTCTCTTGTCCCACCTGTTTTGCGGCCAGAAACAGCTGGTAGACTTTCTCCTGGGCCTTGTCAACACACAAGATCATCGCAGCTTTTTTCAGAAGGGCATCAACCGTTTTGCTTGCATTTCCCGATGCAACAGCTTGGTTTATCCACTGAACGGCTTTTTCCTTGTCGTGTTCGTCGTCTGCCCTGCTGTTGGCAGTGTCAACGCAGTTCTGAATCTCAGTGTGCGTTAAGTATGTGCCCGTAGAGTCACCCTTTGACTTGTTGGAGAGCTCTTGCAGAAGCGTGCCCATGTAGCGACTGGTTCGACCCTCATTCACGCCAGAGATGTGCGCGCTGGGCTTTCTGAGCGACTCTACGACATCGCATGAACCTTTCATTCTAAGAGAAAAATTCACTTCAGCAATCGCACTTAGGATGCAAAGTCCATTGATCAGTTCGTTACGGTCCAAGTTGTGGCCTGCCTCGTTACGTATCGAAGCGAGTTCAGAGTGGTAGAGCCCCGAAACAAGTGGGTACACTTCTGGGAGTGCGGCAGCAGGATTCTGAAGTGCCCGAAACGTCGCTTCAGCATCGTCTCCTTTGAGACAGTTGTTGATGGCAATTATGGCCTCTTCCTGAGCATTCTCCAAGTCCACCTTCTCATTGGATGCCGTCACCGCAACCTGAAGGTCGCTCTTGGAAAGGACGAACGCTTCGTCATCCGTGTCTTCCCTGATCTTTTTCAGGACTTCAAGGTAGCCGGCTACATTTTCGGGAACCACATTAGACACGCCCAAGTCCGGCGAGCCAATCAGAGTCCCAAACACTTCGAGGTCGTCTTCCTTGATGGCCTTGTCTAGCTGTTCGAGGAGAACATTCACGTTGGTCTCAAAAACATAGCCTTGGATCTCGGCCTGGTTGAGCATTTCGTCGTAGACATCCGCGACGTAGGAACCATCCAGCGAACGCTCCAGGTGGTTCTCAAGCTTGACCTGTTTGGCAACTCGCAGGACTTGCAGGTAACGGGACGCGTTGGTGTCGCGCACTGCACAAAGTTCAGCTCGAGGGTCGCTGAGTGCGGCCACCATGGCCTCTGGGTCTTCGTCGTCCAGAGCTTTGTTAATGAGGATGACAGCGACGTGGAGTGCGGCGTCGTCGGCAGACATCTCGCGGGCCAAGATGCCGCCTATTTTCCCGAACGCCGGCAGCTCCACACCCCTTTCCTGAAGCGCGAGGCGAACCTCGTCGATCTGGGACGAGCTAAAGCTGAGCTTACCCACCAGATCTTCAATCTTGGGCGCCTTCCCCAGCTTGAAGAGGAGCAAGCTCAGCGCGTGCAGGCAGTAGATAACCTTGGGCAGGTTGCGCTTCTCGTACAGATCGAAGGCGTCCGGAAAGAAGTGCTGCGGCAGCCCGACCGCCCTCATCGCCGCCAGCCAGTGATTGATGTTGTCGGTGTGCCGGAAGCGCAAGCCGCGTTCAGCGTAAACGGACTCGTCGGCGTCGTAGACCTTGCGCAGCGGCACGACGTCGGGGGCGAAGAAGTGCGCGAGTTTGGCGAGGTACACACCGTTTCGCAGCGATTCTTCGAGGGCCGAGGGTCCCGGCAGCTCTTGGGATATGCACGCCGACAGCCATGCCCGGGTTTCTTCGAGGTGACAGAGGTACTCGTAGGCGACCTGTTCCTGCCGCTGCAAGTCCATCGTGTCGGACGACGCCCTGGACGCCATGCTGCCGACGGCTTCTTCGTCCATACCTGGCTGATAGCGAACGCGTTATCGGTCACAAAACATCACCGGCGACCCAACACGCCTTCGCCTACAAATGCTGCTATTCGGTTTAAATTGGACCGCATGTGTGGCCGCCGTTGGCGCCCACTACCGGACAGGGAGCGGCCGCGTGGTGCGGAAGAACTCCGCTTGAAGGCGCCACCAGACGGACTAAACCAGAGCCTGGACTAAACTACTTTTTTTTTTGTTTTTTTTTTGTTTTATTAAAACACAATTTTAAAAATAGACACACTGGTTAGGTGAGGCAAGGCTGGCAAAGTTACAACGAGCTTAAAACGCTCGACGGATGAATGGTTTTATATTTATTTTTAATTTATATAGCGGTTTACGGTTTCAGAAGTAAATATCTTCGCTAGGTGCCGCAAGCCAACACCTAAATTGAAAAGGGTATTTTTATATTTTTATATTAGTTTATTAGAAAAAGCAAGCAACCGCTAAATTGCAGAGTATTGTATCTGCCCACTTAATTAATTATTTAAGATCTCATAGACATTATGAAACTACAGTTTTCTAAAGCACGCCTGAGAAAGATGGCGCAACTGCGGCGTACGCGCTGTTCGCCCCGAATGGCGGGAAATACGATCTTTCCTTCACGGTCTGGATCGGGAATTATCGATGATGCGCACTTTGCGATGCCACTTTATTTTCAGCTACAAAATAATAATAGGAATAAGAATAATTGCGTTAATTTTTTAACGCAGCAGTAAAATCAAATCTAGATTAACATACACAATGTCTCCTGACAAACATGTCACATATATTTGACCCCAAACGAAAGGTTGTCACGAAGTGTGGTAAGTCGCCTAAAATACTCATGATTGGTACAACTTTGCTCTGCAGTATTAAAAGTTGAATTGCAGTTGTGCTCTTGAAGTGAGGAATTAAATACAGTGCATAAAAGTATGGCGTGTTTATCGTGAAATATAGTTTACGAAATACACTTCACAATATACACGATGACGGCGCAACAAAGCTGAAAGCCAGAATATTTTCAAAATGTTAGGGAAGTTTTAGGATAAGCCCTTTCAGCCTACCTCATATAGAAACAGTGAGCGGCAATCACAGAGCCTGTTTCCCTAACCAACATTGTTTACATTGAACACCGTGATGTAGGCAGAGAAACATGCAGAAAGGAGTGATTAACAACATTGTTCACTCCAATCTATACCCACCTTTGTACTCAGATCGAAGCTGGCCTAAATTATCGCGTACTCAACTGATCATTTGTTTTATACAGGATAAGCTGGCATAGCCTGGATGTTGATGTTTGTTCTTCCCAGTGTGCCGGTAAATTCAATTTGCAAATAAGCCAATAGTTAACTGGTGATTTTTTGCTAAATAGAACAAAGTAATATTTTATACTCTACTCGACATGACAGTTAATTAATTGGTCGCTCTCTGGCGGTCTGCGTGCTTAATCGTAATTGTTACGCACGCAGACTTTACGTGACAAATAAAAACAATGTTTAATGTCTAATGTTCCGGTACGCGCCTTTGTGTATTTTGTTATTGTCCACCCCACAGACATAAAATTGATTTTCATCACATAAAAAAGGAAATAGCAGACTTTTATATGCTTGGAAAGTTATTTATGAGTCGGTAATGCATAATTAATAAAATCACCTTCAAAGAAAAAAAAAACTCTCTCAAAATTACTGATACACGCGTGCCTATCGAAAATAAGAATGCAAGAAAAGATTTGCGAGCATCTCTCTGATAATTTCGGGGGTGCACATTTACTTAGGAAGTATATCTTTAAAGTAATCGGCCCTTCATTTATGTTGTCAAATCTTCAGTGAGTAATTAAATGTATTTTTATCGTCGTCAATGAATTTGACTGTATGAAGTTCAGAGACCGACACGGAAATGCTTTGTCGTTCTCTGTTTTGGCAGAGTGAAACACCGTGTCGCGGGGTCATTCCAAAAATTACTTTGTGCTCACATGATAGGTTCGAAGGCAAATACACGAGAAGTGCAGAAAGATAAAGATACTAAATGGTATTATTCAAAAGAATCCGATATACCATGCCTGATTGCAAAAAGAAAAACATAGAGATGTAATAAATATTCCCAATTACGCATAAAGACGCAAAAGACAGACAAAGATTCTTATAATCCTAACATAAATCACATTTGGGCATCAGCTTTGCACAAACTCGGAGCTTCGCGAAATATACTGCCTAGGGATATGCGATAATATTACATCTGTTTTACGTGCACCCGTTTTACCACCCTCATTTCACAACAGCGTACTGTATCGGTCATGCTCTCCAGCATTTTATTAGACTGGTATACACTCCGTGCGACGTGACTGGCGCGCCGCCCCGCGGCCGGTACCGAAGGTAGGCAGTGAGAACCCCAGAGAAAACGAAACCGAAACCACGCCGCGTACGTTGGTATGTATTGAAGTCGGAGTGGTGCGGTTGCGCTGGGTTCACAGCGTGCTGCCTGTGCTGCGTCATTAAGTGCTTCAATAGTTATGCGTCGTATCTCGTGGAGACAAGGTTTCACAGTTTTTCACCTCGCCGATGTTTTGTGGGACAGCGACAACGATGGACCCGTGCCGTACGACGCGAGAAATTTGGTCTCCCGATCATGTCTGCCACTGTGTCGGCATGGCTGACATATTCTACACTGCCGCTTTGCGCTCTGCGTTTGTTTTCGTACCAGTAACGCCTACATGTGTCAGCGCCGATGGGACGAACTGAAATGCCATCCCACACTCGCGGGTGTGCAGTGCCAATTTCGTTGGAGGAATGCCCTCCAAAGAAGTTTCGTCCTCATCGTACGTGTCGATGATATTTCCGGACAAGTGTGGCACGCAATCTGTACTTCAGGAAGAAAGATTCGAATGGTAGAAAAAGTGACAAATATAAATCTAAAGAAAACAACAATGAAACTCGGAATCACTGGAGAATCGACGTTTGAGTATGGAAGTTTATGTGGTGTGCTTTCTTTCTTGATCAGCCTCCTTTTGTATGTCAAAACGCTGACACCCCGAGTTCTGTAGACAACTTTTTTTTTTCTCGGCTTTAGAGCCAGCTATCGCAAAGTGGTTCGAACTGGAAGTACCGTCCACTGGTCGCTACCTACCTGTAAACTGTGCACCTCCCACTATGAGTGGTATTATCTTGACAGCCTTTGACGGTCAGAGCCAGTTCCCATTTAGTTAAGCCGCCCAAACTAAATGTCCACCTGATTTCGCAATGCCAACTATTTTTATTTTATTTTATTGTAACATTATGAAAGCCATGTGTAATGATGGTTTACAAGTCTTTTGTACCCCACACCTGCAAGGGCCTATCAAAAGGCCTGCAGTATGTAATAAATAAAAATAAAAATAAATAAAATAATAAGTGTTGTGCCAACTGACGGTCATGTCAAAGTACCTGTGCGCCGAAAATCAGCACCTCGCACAACAGGTTATTACAAAACAGCTAACTGCAAAAGCCCTTGGCGGCCAAACCGTGAGTTCGCCGACAACTTTGTTTTCTCGGCTTTGGAACCACCTTTCGTAAAGTTGTTTCAATTGGAAGTACAGTCTACTAGTCCCTTCCTATCTCTAAGTCTCCACCTCCCCCGACCAGTGATATTCTCTTGACAGCCTTTTCATGGTCAAAACCGGTTCCCATTGAGGTACGCGCCCAAAACAAATTTTCACCTGGTTTCCCTATGCCACCTTTTTTTGTATAGTAAGTGCTGTGTCATGTTACTGTCAAGTCCAAGCACTTGTTTGCCCAAATCTGCACTTTGTACAGCCCGCTATAACACAACATTTTGGGTCCAATATTGGATATCCCGTACAGCTTTATTTCTTTATTCGTTAGAAACATAACTTTCACACCTGCTGTCTTAAAGAAACTTGGCACTCTTCGTGCACAAACTTAGTGAACATCTCACTCGCCTCCAACACTCTAAAGAAAAGGGGGTGTAGGCGTTACACCCCTTGTCACATATACGACACCCCAAAACTTCAGTTGGATGTACAGCGCGCTGACGTCGAGCAGAGGGCCCCAACTTTTGCAGGAGGGTTGATGACGGTGCAATAAAACATATTAAACAGCTAAAGTACGTATCAAAGTCTACAGGAAAAAAACGCACAGGTTTTGCAGTTGAGCCTAGAAAACCCCGATAACTTTTTTTTGCAGTCAGTCACACTTACATTAACTATTTTAATGACTTGTTTAACTCGTCTATCAAGCAGCTTGTGAAATTTGGTAGCGTCGGTATTACTTCAGTGTGCTGTACATCCAACTGAAGTTTTGGGGTGTCGTATATGTGACAAGGGGTGTAACGTGTACACCCCCTTTTTTTAGAGTGAAATATCATCGTTCCTGCAGTCCTAGGTTTACAACAACGAGCGAAATAAATTTCCCACTCAGAGCAATTAAGGTGGCGGCCGTCTTGTTTTTCAGAAAATTGCTCCAATCCCTTTTTCTGCCGCAACTAAAGAAATTACATATAATAACGACTCAAACTCAATATATAAGGAGTGGAGAACAGCTAAATGCCCTTCTGCTCCAGCACTCATGCAACGTCACCCTCAACTTATCGGCTCAAAAAGCAAAAGTTTCGCCCGTTCGCACTTCCGCCGCCACAGCTTGGCATGCGAAAAGGCGCCGCAGGCTGCTGAACGCGCCTCACAGTCGAACGCCAGCTCCTCCGCTAGCGGCGCTACGCGCGTTTTTCAAAGCGCCCCCTATAGTTCCCGCACGGAGTGTATATATGCTGCACAACTTTGCAATTTGGATATCTACTTTTGCTAGCGTTGCGAACATCGCATTTCACCAGGAACACAGCGAACATCACACAAAATGCTGGTGGTCATTGCGATTTGTTGTTGCTGAGAAAAAGCAAAACCGATTATTGAAAATGCAAGCCGCAAACGGTTCGCGCGCAATTAAAAAAAAAAAAAAAAGGCTACCATTTCATTTTATTTTATTTATTTACTCTCAAGGCCGAAGCATTACAGAAAAAAGTGGTAAAGCAAAAAAAAAAAAAAAAAAAAAAAAAATACAACGTGAACATAAACACAGCAGGGAGATTACAAAATTACAAGATTACCATTATAGCATTCAATGTAAGATCAGTGTAAGCTATGTGTTTG